ATATTCGCAAAGCGACATGATTTGATTTCACCAGACACCAGACGCACTACATTAAAAATCAGATTGACTTCATCTCAATGTGAGGAAAGTGGAGACGCAGCCTACTGGACACAAGATCAGATCAAGAAGGGGAGAAGACGTAGGTGGTTCACAACACTCACTGTCTAGTGCAAGCAACCCACCTTCAAAATCAAGTTGAAAGCCTTCAAAGAAGCTGCTGATAGACGGCCACAGTTCAAGTTCAACACCCACAACAGATACTAAAGCATGAAAATACAAAGGACGTCTTCACGTCACTCAACCATCAAGAAAACATGGTAGATATTAGGCAACATCCACGAGGAAACCTGCATCTAAGAACAGTGGAACCCTTTGAAAGAGATGTGGAAGGAAACCTGCATAACCGTGTAAGGAAGGAAGAAGAAGCAAGACAAGGAATGATTCTCTATCGATACATGGAAGAGACCTGACAACATTATATCAAATGACCAGGTTACTGTCTGAGAGGAAGGGGATCAACGCAGACGAAACCAATGAAAGATAGTGAAGAGAACCTAGTTACCTGCCAAAGGGGAGAAACGAAGGATTTAATGAGCTGACCACTTCCAAAAAACTCTTTAAACGACGACGACCACCACCACCGCCACCACCTGCAACTCGGCCAGAATTACCACCAGCAGCTCAGCCACAGAACTACCAGTGAACACAAGCCCTCCGACAAAAACAGAAGTGAAGTCCTGAACGCCACGCCATAAAGTTGCTGAAATCTAGGAAAGTAGCACGACCAGATGGAATTCCACCAGAAGCACTGGAAACAAACGCAGAGACAACAGCGAACATGCTCACACCACTGTTGCAGAAGGTTTGCAAGGAAAGAAGAGTAGAGTGCCTGGAGATTGGAAGAAGGGCTACCTCGTCAAACTCTCAAAGAACGGAGACCTAAGTGTTTGCAATAACTGACAAGGAATCATGCTCCACTCCTTCCTGCCCACCCACAACAAGCGAAATATTGTGCCTCATCATCCTGGAGAGACTGAAATATGCTCTCCATTGAAAATTACGACCAGAACAGGCTGGCTGGCTGGCTGGCTGGTTTCAGGAATAACAAATCATGTGTGGATCAAATTGCAACGCTACGCTACGCAACGCATCATCATAGAACAGAGTATAGAATGCTAGTCAACTGGATGTCTACCTGAACTTCATCGACTTTGAAAAGGCGTTTGACAGCGTCGACCGAGAAGTAATTTGGCAGGCAGCTGCTTCAACACTACGCTTTTAGTGTTACAAACCTTTACCAACCTCATTCAACAGCTATATGTTATATGATGCTACATGCCGAGTGATTCAGACTGGAAAGCTCAGCTCACTGATGCCTTTGAAGTGAAGACAGGAAGGAGTAAGACAAGGTTGCCGCATACTATCACCGATCATCTTCCTGATTGTAGTGGACCGGACTGGAGGATGCAACAAACTGTGAGGAGCGAGAAGAGTGGCAGGTGCTGTTTGCCTGATGAGAAGACCCTAGAAGAAGATTTGGATTTCGCCACCGCCGATGATGATTTCTGTCTTCTAATATCTTGTTGCACAAACTGGAAGATGTACAGGCGAAAACCAACAATTTGACAGAAGAGGCGAGGCAAGACAGCGTGGTAGGTGATGGCTCGGCATGCTCAGTACGTGCTCAAGCCATCTCAGTCAACTTGGGTTCACAACCTCATCAATCCACTTGCCTGTCTTGCCTAGTTCCCCTTCACCTGATATCGAGGTTGCTCACATGGTGATTCTAGCCAACACAAGCAATATTGTGAATAAATCTGTGATCAAAATCTGTAATCGCTTCATGTCTTCTACTCTTAACGGCTATAAGCATCAAGGGACTTCATGAATTCACACAGTGTCTTGGTCTAACAAGTTCTACTCTTTGTCAACCTTGGTCTACTCAAGGTCAGGATAGACGGTGGTTCGAAATGCATAACATGTTTTTAAAATATCCAGTTAAACAACTTTATAAACTGATTTACCACTTTTTCGTTATGTAAGTTCCTAGTGAATTTACGTTTTGGTTTCAAATTATTTAATTCACGAAGAAGGCAATTGTTTTGATTGCATGATTCGTTTAGTTATACACCTATGATCTGCTTGTTTATGCATATCAAGCGGATTGCTTGACTTTTGGTTTCGCCACTGAGCTTTGTGCTTTCGATATCGGATGACTGTAAATGTAAAGGTTTTTAACTGATTAATTGTTTGCATTTTGTTGTCAAGGCTAGTTTCAACCGATATCGCTGGTAAACTTCAATATACAATAATCTCTTTAAAAGTGAATTACATTTGACCTGATCTATTTGGGATCGAGGTGTTTGGCATCTGCCAAGAGATTTTTTTGTTGGCAGTAATCTGTTGATTTCGTATTACATTTAATGCCTTACGCCTATCCTCCATATTGTTCACATGACGATTCTCACACAAAATCAATACCAACGAGGCAGTAGTGATCAAATACCTGGAGTTTCCTGAGATTCTTTGCCTAACACAGCCACGTTGGTTAGTCATATTGTTCGACAGAGTGCATTACTGAGCAATTCAATGAACCCTTGATAGGTATTCGGATTTCTCGCAAGCACCATAATTGACGTAAGCCGGTCAAGGTCAACTACGTTTTTTGTATCTATGATGATATTCACATACGTATATTCCTTTAGACTTCACTTCTCTCTTAAATCTATTCAGAATGTAGAAGATATAGCAAGTGACAGAAATATTCTATGGACTAATGGTATGAAAGTAATAGTGAGTTCTGTTTTCATTAGTGCAGAATGAGTCGTTTTCTGAGCTGAGGTTTTAGTCGACAAACGCCTTGAATGAATACTAACAACTGTCACCAGTGCTTCATGGCTTCACAAAGAAATCTGATAATGATGTCTAACATTACACTGAAACGTCTGTCAACTACAACGTAGAATCAGTAAACAACTCACTTTGAACACACACACACCGCTAGATGAAATAATCGCTGCAATTTCTGGACGCGTACATTTTTGTATAAAATGTTACCTGGACAATGAATTATTATCATTTGTACTATGGGTTACTAGTGGAACATAGAGCTTCAGTAGCACATCTCCATTCCACTCTATTCTCTGCAGTCTTCTCAACCTTGCGCCACGACTGCCCACAAGCTCTCATTTCTTCTCCACACAATCTCCTCCATGTCACCCTCAGCTGGAACGCCCAACTCGTCGTTTCCCATTTGGATTCCACTCGAGGGCCTCGCCTGACCTGGTCTGGTCTGTCGCGTGATGTCCCCAAATGGTCTTCTCAATGTATGTCCAGTCCAGTCCAGTCCAGTCGAATCCAATCCATCCCCATTTTCTTCTGCATATTTATTGGACGATGGGTTCTTGCCTCGTTGCCTGCCTGCCAGCCAGCCAGAGTTCTTTGTTGCTTATTATTTCTGGCCATCCATCTAATCTTCAGTATTGAGCCAGTGTAGACAACTGTTGATGATGTATGTCTGCAGTTCGTTGGAAATGCTTTTCGTGACACGCCAAGTTTCTGAAACATCACATAGAAGCACTGATGTAACATTGGTGTTGGAAATTCGGATCTTGTTCACGCTTTGTGCTGAGTGCTGTAGATCTCCACACTGATTTCAGATTAGTGAAAGCCTGTCTTGCTGTCTTTCCGATCGTGGCTGGCTTTGACGTCCTCATCTGTGCCGCCACCTGTAGTTGAAACGATGCTGCCCTGCCTCTAGGTAGGTGAAACAGACAACTTCCTTCAGGTTTCTCCCATTGATGGTAGTTGGTGCCTGTTTTCGTTTTCGTTGTTGTTGTTGGTGGTGGTGGTTGTGGTGACGGCGGTGGTAGTGGTCGGGTATCTTCAGCACCCGTGTCTTCTCTACGTTCACCTGAAGGAAGTCCTGTCTTCGCTGTCCTGCCTCGCCTCTTCTGTCAAATTGTTGGTTTTCGCCTGTACATCTTCCAGTTTGTGCAACAAGATATTAGAAGACAGAAATCATCATCGGCGGTGGCGAAATCCAAATCTTCTTCTAGGGTCTTCTCATCAGGCAAACAGCACCTGCCACTCTTCTCGCTCCTCACAGTTTGTTGCATCCTCCAGTCCGGTCCACTACAATCAGGAAGATGATCGGTGATAGTATGCGGCAACCTTGTCTTACTCCTTCCTGTCTTCACTTCAAAGGCATCAGTGAGCTGAGCTTTCCAGTCTGAATCACTCGGCATGTAGCATCATATAACATATAGCTGTTGAATGAGGTTGGTAAAGGTTTGTAACACTAAAAGCGTAGTGTTGAAGCAGCTGCCTGCCAAATTACTTCTCGGTCGACGCTGTCAAACGCCTTTTCAAAGTCGATGAAGTTCAGGTAGACATCCAGTTGACTAGCATTCTATACTCTGTTCTATGATGATGCGTTGCGTAGCGTAGCGTTGCAATTTGATCCACACATGATTTGTTATTCCTGAAACCAGCCAGCCAGCCAGCCAGCCTGTTCTGGTCGTAATTTTCAATGGAGAGCATATTTCAGTCTCTCCAGGATGATGAGGCACAATATTTCGCTTGTTGTGGGTGGGCAGGAAGGAGTGGAGCATGATTCCTTGTCAGTTATTGCAAACACTTAGGTCTCCGTTCTTTGAGAGTTTGACGAGGTAGCCCTTCTTCCAATCTCCAGGCACTCTACTCTTCTTTCCTTGCAAACCTTCTGCAACAGTGGTGTGAGCATGTTCGCTGTTGTCTCTGCGTTTGTTTCCAGTGCTTCTGGTGGAATTCCATCTGGTCGTGCTACTTTCCTAGATTTCAGCAACTTTATGGCGTGGCGTTCAGGACTTCACTTCTGTTTTTGTCGGAGGGTTTGTGGGTAATAAATACTGAGTAGTGAATAATGAAGCAACGCACTAGATGAAAAATTTAGCGAGCTTTCTCATAACACCCAGTTAGAATAGAACTATATCAGAAAGAAAAGAAATACTAAAACTTACAGTCAACTTGACGCCAACAAAGATAATCCCGTAAAGTTTTATTCGATGGATAAAGTATTACTCTAGAGTCGAATGATGGTGGATAGAGTAAAGATATATCGGGAAAAAAGTTAGGCCATTCAAAAACGTACGAGGAGGAGAATAAGGAAACGACAGTGCTGGATATCTTGCTAAAAATTTCCAAAAAACATAATAGGGCAGGGATAATATTGGGATGTGAAGTAAGATAATGTCGACATTTGAGTATGCACGATAACATGAACATACAAAATATCTAAGTGTTAACTTATTGGAAGTATTCAAATGGCGTACCAGTATATGCGTTAGACTTTCAACTGGAGGATTTAGAGTTCCAAATCCAGTTTGCCTTTTGAAGGTCAGGCGGCTCGGTAGTGTCATCAACCTGTAAATAGTAGATGTATCATTACCAAATGCGCCAGCCTGTATACGGTTTCTGAGTTACATTTCTCTTCATCGTCATTAAAGTTTAAATAATTCGTAGCTAATTCGAAAAAAAGTGCTTTCAAGACAAAGCAATGTCAATCGAACGGACTGTGAAAATAGAACTCCATGAAGATAGTATGCTAGATCCCCAAAGGAAACATTTTCTACTGCTGAGGTTATATTACAAAAGATCAGCCTGATAGATGAAACGATTACCATATAAAAACTCAGATAAGTTGTCTGATAATGACTTTCTCAGTAAACTGATTAGCTAAAGTACCCCAAATTGATGTTTTTATTAAACTTAAAAAGCGGGACGGATGAAGGAAAACCCTTTTACACTCATACTCAAAATGCACTGAGTAACCACATGCACATTCGTGCAGTAGTAATTATACGACACACATTGTGTGAAGGCTAACGATACTACCTGCGGCTGCCTAGACCTCAGTAGATGGAGTGAGGCTAGGATCCATGACCCGTAGGTTGAAAGTCTAATGCCTAGACCAATGAACCATAGCTTCACTCATTCAAACTAGATACCTAAAAGCTTTTTTCTATGAAGGAGTGTGAAGAAATACGACAATAAAATTATTGGGTTAGAGAGTGACACTATAATTCCTTGAATAGAGTGAATGACCGGCAAATATTATGTTTGACGTTACCGGTGAATACGTTGATTCACTCATGAATCTCACTGGCTCTTTAGACCAAGACTTAAATCAAAGCCTTCTGACTAATACCTATTGGAAACAGGTCACTAATCAATACTAAGTGCTCTTAGGAACATGTGATCATTGTATTTTGACTGGTATCTCTGTTACATAGTCACTGTTATCCTCACTTACTGGATCACTGAAAAGGTTATCGAGGTTTTACATCATCATTTTTGTAACTGATACAAACAACTCGAAGCGATGCGTTATATCTTATGGAGGATGTGGCTTATTGGTTTAGAAACTCAACTTTCAAGCTGAGTTCTGGGTTCAAAGCCTGTTCCAACTAATTAAGCCTCAACAACCATATAGTATCATAAAACATCATACAACAAGTGTTCCTCATAGCCTGATACATAAACATGTACTGGACTGCGTTATTATGTTTTAAATAGTATGTTTAGTTATAAGATATCTATTTTAATGGCTAGGCATTACTGGCAAATAAGTTATGATACAAGTCTTATAAACTAGGATAAATAAGATAGACATAAGACGAGACAAAAGTTTAACAAATTTCGGAAGTAGTGTGACAGAGATTGTAATGTTTGATCTCAGAAGGGGATTGTCAGTTAGTGGACAACAGTCGATTAAAATCGGTAAATGAGAATTTAATTACCAATGAGAAAGCTTATAATGGTTTCCCCGCAATACTTACAATTCAAACTTTATATTACCTGAATGTGACATATGTATTAGTTATTATTGGGAATTTGTCAGTCTTAGTGAGAACTCTACCGCCCACTAGGATGTAGGTACTAGTCAATGTAACGATGTCGACATTCGTCCTGATAACTTTTCAGCGCAACAAAAAATGTAATACACATTGTGAGATACACTTTCTACACCGGCTTCGATAGACGTATTTTACATCATATTTAAGCAAAACATTAATATCTATCTTGAGCAAAACGCAAACTAGAGTGTGAAACTTTACAAAGATTTCTTTATAAATCAAGGTCAGTTTACTTGTATATGTTTTTTCTCTCTACTGATTAACCCACTCACAAAGTTGCAGGTTCAAAACCCACTTCTAACTAACTACTTATGCAGACAGTAATGTTGCTTTGGGTGCATGTGTGTAATGAAAAACAGATTTTATTTTGCACTTTCATCTACGCTACATACAATCAAAAAAAAACAACTGAATGAGTGAATGTGATACAATCTACCTCAAAATTTAATTGGAAATATTTAGAAGTTAAACTGAACTGATTTAAACTATACACACAAACACACATGGATATATCTCCGAAAGCATTACAAATCACTGTTATTGTTGCGCAGAAAAGCAATCTATCATTGATTTACAATCAAATATTTAGACCAAATTATTGATGATGATTAAGTGTTAAATTTAATTCTATGTATCATGCTGTTGTAATTTACTAACTTACTGACAGAAAATGAATAAATCGAAATGGGAAAATGACCAATAAGTTATAAAAATGATGATAGTAAGTTATCTCTAATTAGATGTAGTTGGAACTTACATACAACTCATTATATAGCAGAAAATATCTGATCTACCTTCATTTGATGCTCATTATTCACTGGATGTGATATGAACGTAGTCAATTATCTTACCTGACACCTCAGTATAAATGAGTTCATTAATGTACATGTAAATACAGCCGATTAAGTAATGTCTAAATGACTGGCTACAGAAGTCTTCACAAATTAAAAGTGTAAAGATCAACCCAGATGGCTAAACCGTACTTCATTTATCTCAGTGGCTCACTTAATGATGTCAGAATGTGATGTAATCTAGCTTGAAAATAATTTTGCACCTACACACCACTTCAAACTGAAAATCAAGCCTAAAGATAATATTTCAGTAGTTGTTTAGGCCATTTTAGACAACCGTGGTTTGAAAGACAAAAATATCCTAATGTAAACGTTGGGATGCTTATTCGAATAGCCCCATCATCCAGTTTTTCTTTCAACACCACCAACTATTACGTGAATATTGAATGTTCAAAATATTCTTTTACTTCAGTCTTTAGCAGTAAATAGTTTTCATGGTCAAACTACTCATATTAGTCAAATTTATGCAAATCATTTTCATCACGACAGCAAATAATCGTAAAACTTCAGACTTGATTTCACTAAATTGAAAGTTGATTCTTTCGTGAGTTTGTTCACACAAGTTCTTACATGTAAATTAGCTAAATATTAACCATATGTTCCAACTTCAGCATATAATTAAGTTTGTCATAGATTATAGTCAAGAATGCAGGTAAGGCAAAAAAACTAATTATTTCATGCCAAGGTGTATACAACGTCAATGTGTATTCATTCAGCTTGTTTTGATTTCAACAAAATATTTTCACAAACAACTGCTATTAGTTAATGCAATATTCCTGAAATAAAATAACATTATTTTATTCGGCAAATTCACTCTTACTTCTTTGGCCAAATTTATCAACGGAACCAAAAAATTGGAAACAATAACCTTCGTGCAGTAGGAGCAACCAGCCACACATCTTGTGTGAAAGCTACTGATACTACCTGGCTGCTCAGACCTCGGTGGATGGAGCAGGGTTCAAACGCACGACTCATTGACTGGAAGTCAAGTGCCTTGATTAGTGAGCCACAGCTTGAATCTATATAAACAGTAAGGACTCCAACCAGTAGGCTCAAAGTAGAGGGTGTTGACCATACACCTCATACGTGTCGTATGACACGAATAAAACAGATACATTTGGATGCTTGATCAAATAATTGTTAACTTTTTAGTTAATATAACAGTTGAATGAGTAATTAAAACCCAATTATCATCTCTGAGTAGACTATAACGACTGACATTACCATATTTCAACTAACTTGCAGTCACGCTTTCAATTATTGATCGTTTCGTTAGTCGGTACAAAAACTGCAGAATAATGACAATAATTTCAAAAAGTCAACAATTATCTCACCTAGCCCGACGATTGAATAGTTCTGTAGACTTTTTGAAGATAAAACTAAATTCATCTGACTGACCATAGGCTAGAACAATTTCTTTCTGTTGTTGCATTACACGTTCTGCTGCACGTACTGACAATAACAGACCACGTGTGTCATTCGGCTTGAAAAAGTTGTGCTCTGTTGTAAATTTATGAAATCCCTGTCCATCCACACGAACAACAATCCAGGTGGATGGAAGACAACGATCCATTACTTCAAAATTTCGAACATATTCATAACTACTTTTAGCCATTTAACAAGCATATGAACACGGTAAACTGAAAATAAGCAACAAAACGTTTAATTAAACGCTGATTCATATGAATACAAAACACTGAACATAGAAACACCAGCGAGTAAAGCACTTTGCAGTAGCTGCTAGATAATAACTAATGTTATGCCTTATTCGTGACTGTTGATTCAGTTTCCCTGCATGCGAATATGATATGCAAAGAGATACTTCGCACCCCTTAATCAATAAGTTACATTCAGAACAGTGAGCTACAGTATGACACTGGTTACCATCAACTGACTGTTGCGTATACGTTATTCTAGTAGAAAATGATATCAGTTACAGCTGAAATAACTTTACATTGAACAAAAAAGTTTCAAACCCTTGGAAAAGGATGGACATTAGCAACAGAAAACCTGGTACTACTGCGTATCCATGCAAGTTACTACATCTACACATACATCAAAAAAGAAGTTAACAAGAAGTATGGTAAAGAAATGTGAACAATACCAGCTATCATAAAAATTCAGAAGACAAAGAAAAAAGGTGATAAATGGAATACAGACGTGATATTATGATCTAGATTAAGATAAAGCATGAATGCACCTGATCCACTGCGATCAACTTCGAGCTATCTTGCTTGAAGATTCCAGTTGTCTCCGAGATCCTAACTACAAAGACAACACACATGTCTTGTTAATGAATATCGACACTTACAACACTAACTGCCTAAATCGTTTGCAGCCTAGAGCATTAAATATTCAACATCCTTAAATAAAAATTATTTTTGTAAACCATCAATTTCCTTTCGACCAAAGAGAGAAAACAATGTATGAGCAGAAGATAACAGAGACTTTCATTTTGAACAATCTACTTACAAATTATGTGGCCATATTGACGTTACTGATATGCAAGTTTTTACTGAGAACTACACAGTTAAGTTCAACACTTTCATCTGCAAGATAAAACTTTTGAGGTTATAACAAATAATATAAGTGCAAAACTTGGGCACTGTGGTCGATTGTAATTCCATTTTAGTAAATAGACTAAAATGGTATAACAAATAATGATGAAAATGAGAGTTCACAACAAACCAGTTGATGCGCATCAGCTGGTCAAATTCCATTAACCTGACAGCTCAAGTGTATCACTAACCAGTTCTTTCTTAAACGAGCAAGCTGGTCGTTTAGTATTAAAACCACTTCGATTTGGTCAATAAAATATGAAGATCAGTATACTTGAACCTCAACTACTTTTGTGGTTTAGCAGTATACTTCCTATTCAAGCAGAAGGAAGAGGTTTTTATTTCAGTACTCAATTAACTTCAGATTTGTACAACTAGTAATCCCTAAATACCAAATAGTGTAAATCTTATGAAAACTACATGGGTAGTTTCAAATTCAGTCAAAACTGATGTTATCACTACAAATACGCAAACATAACTTATCCATGTGACTGCAAGGATAGTCAACTTTATCAATTAAACAAAACTATCCAAGTTCACATGTCATAGTCAAAAAAAAAAAGTTGAATCACTATCAAAACGAACGGAACAGAATTTATCTGTTTCTTACTAATCTTGACTGACTGTACCACATGAGTCGCACTCTATATATGTGTACACATATGTAGGTATCATTTGGTTTTTTCACTAATAATTCAGTTGAGTTGACTTAACTTCAAAAGCTATTCAGATATCCCATCAATAGAAAGGTAATATTTTATAAACTAACCAAAATTAGGTGGTTATCTCAGTAGTTCTCAGTGACCGGTAGAGTCAGTTGTCCCTAAGATACACAAAACAGTACGTGATCGGAAGAAGTAAAACTAATGCTTAGAGGAAAAACAGAGAGACCAGTAAGGATTACTAAAAATGAACTTTAGTAAGGTTACAGTTGTCTAAGATAATTACTCCAATTGCATGAAAAAGCAATTAAATTTCATCCAATAAAATGCTTATTTGGGTAAACTTAAAAATCAAGGGGTCCAGATATCTTGATTTAATTTTTTCTTAAAACATATGTACTCACAAGTGATAGATATCATGGCGAATCTTAAAAATGTCATTTATGAAACGCTTCTTAATCTACTAGGTGAGAAAAATTCGCAGAAAACACTTTTTTCTGTCACCAAAATCATTAAATCAAGGGCATTCGCAAAGGTCAATTCCTTGATGCACGCACTAACACCGAGGCATCTAACAAGAGATTTCAGTAATTACGGGGTCTTCAACACCAAAAACGATATTGTTTATCATTTTTTTTAATCGCTTCTATAGAAAGGTTTCATATCCTGTAGAATTTTGAGGCGAAATTTCGAGTGCTGAAGCAACCAACAATAACTGTGGCCAATGTTTTTGAATCTCTGCTATCACCAAAATCTAGTAACACGTTCATAAGCTGTTAAGTCTACACTTGAGGATGTTAACTGCATTTTACTGTACTGTACATGATAATCTGCTCAATAAATGCATTCAATAACGTTATTTTACGTACTTTTAATTCGTAACCATACAGGATCTGAGTTTCTGCTGGTATAAGACGTTTACACCATAGTACATAGTAACCTTGGTGAAAACATTAGCAACCGAGGGATATTCATCCCATCTTTGATTATTTATTTTTAGTAGCATTATCATAGTAACGTGTTTTCTTTATATGTGAGTTGTTTTTTGTGATCGAAATCACATTCAACCAGCTAACCAGTAATTTTGTCTTCTAATTTCGATTCGTCAGTTGATATCTCGAGAAAGTGTTCATTTGAGTCCGGTTAATCAATAATTATCACAGTTATAAGCAAATATCTACGTGAAAATCTTCGTCTGGAGTTCATTCAACCGCATATCATTTCAGTATCTAAGTTACATAAAGTTGTCGTTACGACAATTATTAAAAATCAATTGATACTTAACAAAATATTCATATTCATTAAACAAACAACTCCAAACATCAAAAACTACATCTATCAAAGAGCCTACAGTAATTCACTATATGGCTCCTGTATTAAAACTGAAAATGAAAGCCTACTTATGAGTGTTCGTGGATGACTAGGCAATGGGGTAATCGATCGACGTGGTAGCTACATATACAGCTGCTTCTGTAGATAAGGAAAGGTTGACATAAGACAAAAACTCGTACATCACATTACTACTGATTGCTGAATAACAAATTCATAAAAGAGTCTGAGGATCTCCAGCACAACTTTCAAATAAGTCAACATCATGTACTGAAGAAAAGTATCTAGGAAAAGCACGCCAAAAAATTTTCATTACTTTAATAATGACAATCAATGGAAACTAGCTAAGCTTACTGGTTAAAGTAGAAGAACAGATCAGAAAATGATGCAAATCTGATGTGCATAACATATCATAATTTTCTGTATCAGAAAGTGTCGTAGAAACTAACAAAAATATTTCCAAAAATGGCAACAACGAATAAAGTATATCGATTAGGTTTTTGTAACATCTTTTGACGCTATCAAATAAATATTTTTCAACAAAAAAAAAACACCAAGACTTTTAATACCAGGCATGAAAAGTAGTACCACGTTAGTGCTCATTATCGAAAGCTGAGTAGGATTTCGGTCGAAAAATGAATACCACCTAAACAATTCATACTGAATTAGCTTAGTGCCAACACTCAAAACTGTTTAAGCAGTTGAAATTAGAACCATCAGGTCTCCCAACGACAATATAACGCCTCAATTATCATGTTAGAACTCCACGATTCATATTTCCCAACACCACACGACCATAATTCAGCAGAATATCTCCTTTTACTTAAAATCAAGCAATTCATGCAAAGGTCGAATAATCTACTTAACAAAGATCAATGAGATTTATTCAAGAGTTAAACTAATGATACGACAAGTTCTACCAAGAAAGTCTTTCAAGGTACAGGTCACAATATAGTGGTTACCAAGACTACCTAATCATTGTGATTGATATCAAGGTCATATACTTGCTTTCCTTAAAACAGTATATAGGTAAAATTAGGTCAAAAAACGTTTCTGTAGTGACACTGTCAACGTAAACTAAGACCGGCAGACATAATTTTTCTTTTATATAAAATACCCAGTAGTAATACTATGAAGAAGAGGGTGAAATAGAACTTCAATTGAATGCACATTACTAGTACTTCAAAGAATTTTGCCAAATAAATTAATAAATTCTCTACATGAAACAAAGCTGTCACATCATTGCAAGATTGTTTTCCCTCAAGAAGAATGTCATAAGGCGAAAGACCAAGCAAAACCCAGCAGACCGAAGTTCAAAAATTTAGGAACTCTTATTAAAAGCCAAAGGGAATAAACAACTCGTTTAGGATGAGAATTTTTATCTGGCGCTATAACACAGTATGCATAGTTCAACCAACAATGATGCTAGCCTTAATCATGACTTGAGAAACCACCGAGTAGCAGACAGTCGTTGCACTTTCAATAGTGCACTCCCGTAACTCCTTGAGTAACTGAACTTGACGATTTCTTATGCCTCGACAAACACTACTGACGAACTATCGGGTGGAAACTCAACGGTTGTTAATACCGAACCACAGACAGTCGTTACTCACCACAGCTATCTTATTTATAACCTAGCCACGGAAAAAATCCCTTCGCTATCTCGGATCAGGCTACATTTGGGATAAAGCTTGTTACGGAAACTGTGACTTCAGAGATGCATGGAATTCGATTTCCTCCTTCATTACAGTTTCGTCAAAAACTGTATAATGAATAAAACTGAAATACACCAAGGCATATGATAGTAAATATCGTATGACAACTGGTACATACTGTCTTTTTATGCGCTCATAGGTTTTATTTAAAACGTATACAAGATCCTCATGGATCGAAATGCTGCTGATCTGATTTCTTGCATTGTTCTTACACTTATTGAAGCATCTCAAGTTTTAAACCAGTAATACTAATAAATGTGTTGATACTTACACTGATTAATCTGACGCCAAAATATACGCTTTTACAGATTAATTTCCGGGTACTTAGAGATACAAAATAATAAAAACGGC